GTCGGGTAATAGCCATAAGAAAAAATAAGGTGGGGTGGAAGTCGTCTGCCGTCATTAGTTTCTTGATAGCTCCTCCACCTATAAATATATTCATCTATCTATCTATATATATATATATATATTTGCACCCTCGAAGCAAACAACAAAAGCGGGAGGAGAAGTACGAGCGTCCGTCGTTCATCATGCCTTCGTCAAGGTGGGGTGCCGACCCTGTCGTGCGGGAGCCGTCGGGTGATTTTCAGTACATTGGCGACTACGCCGTGGGTGAAACCATTGGAAAGGGAAGCTTTGGGAAGGTCAAGAAGGGTCGTCACCTTCCGACCGGAGAGACGGTCGCCATAAAGATACTGAACCGTAACAAGTTGAAGAGTGCCAAAATGGACCAAAAAATCTATCGCGAGATAAATATACTCAAACTCTTTTCTCATCCCAATATTTGCCGGCTCTACGAGGTCATCTCAACCCCCACCGACATCTTTCTCATTATGGAGTATGTTGAGGGTGGCGAGCTCTACAGCTACATCGTAAAGAAGGACGTGTTAAAGGAGGATGAAAGCCGCTACATATTGCAGCAAATTGTTTGCGCGCTAGAGTACTGTCATCACTTCCTTGTCGTCCATCGGGACCTCAAGCCGGAAAACATTTTGCTCGGCCCCGGGCTGCAGGTGAAACTCATCGATTTTGGACTTGCCAACATTATGAAGGACGGCGAATTTTTGGCAACCTCGTGTGGATCGCCCAACTACGCTGCGCCAGAGGTCATTTCCGGTAAGTTGTACTTTGGCCCAGAGGTGGATGTGTGGTCGTGCGGGGTCATTCTATACGCCATGCTCTGCGGGTATCTCCCGTTTGATGAGGACAACATCCCACTGCTCTTCTCCAAAATCAAAAAGGGGAGATACACGATTCCCCGTCATGTTTCACACGGCGCGCGTGAACTCATAGAGCAGATTTTAGTTGTTGACCCGCTTATGCGTCTGACGATTCCGCAGATTCGCGACAATGTGTGGTTTAACGTGCATCTTCCCATGCGTCTTTCGTACAACGAAACAATTTTCCTGACGAGGGAAAAACGTATCTCGCCAAAGGCGGCAAGTCGAGCGGCGAAGATTCTCGGTATGCGGGACAGAGATGTTCGCAGTGAGATTGCGGAGGGCAGTGGTGCTGGCTTTGTGGCCTACAACATTCTTCTGGATGCAGAGCGAGGGAAACAGATCATCGCGGAAGCAGCCCCGTTCGCGGTAGAAGATGACATGCACGGTGGCTCAAATCGCCTGGTGGCACACGTATCGAAGGCAACAGAACGTGAGCTGAACCTTGGACTTCTGCTCACACAGAGCCCTGCCATGGAAACACTCCTAGAAGCTGGGGATGCCACCGCTAATAAAAGTGCCTACAACTGCGGTAATTTTCTTCCGGCTTCCGTGCAAGAGACAAAAATGATGGCGTTATCCTTGCATACACCAGTCTCGAATGGTAATTTCAGCATTTCAAAGCGGCCAGACTCCCTTACAGACGGCACAAATCCGTTTGGGTCCGGTATTATTGGAAGTGGTAATAGTATGCACCGCCCATCCACTCTTTGCGCCAGCGTACGTCAAGGATCAGGCAATGCGCTCGCCACAAGTATGAACGACCGTCAACGTGTTGGGTCTGTTGCGAAGTCCCACGTGATCTACACGAGGGACGAGGAGGAATTTATTGTGCGGAACAACTTTGGCTGGCGGATTGGTTTGATGAGCGACTTTAACGCTGCCGTCTCACAGAATGTCCTTTACGGCACACTGAGAGCCTTTGACATGGAGTGGAAGGTACTGGCGCCATTTCGTCTGCTGGCCCGCACAACGCCGGGGACTTGGGCCAAAATTGGTCTCGCACCAACAAAGCCGCCGCAGACGCCGCTGTCGCTGGACCTCTCGGAATACTCCAAAGATGATGTCACAAACCCGGCAGCGAACGCCCCCACTGCCGCTCCTCCCCAGGTGGTTGTGGCCCTGTACCTGTTTCGTATCCAGGAGAAGCATGACAAGGGATACCTGGTGGATTTTAGCGTGGTGAAGGGCGCACTTCTCGCGCTCGAGGTTGTGCTGCGCCTTTCAGCGACGCTCATCCGTCGCATGGGATGAACCGTCGCTCCCAAACCCCCGGGGAGCGGGCGGAAGGCGGGGGGAGAAGAAGAACAGAGAAGTTACAGCCGGCAGCCGGAGGGTTCAACGCGAGTAGGAGGGAATGAGCGAAGGGAGCACCATGCGTGAAGAAACAAAAAAAAAAAAGAGAGAGACGCAAAGAAAAAAAAAAGGTACTGAAAGGCAATGTGTTGAGAAGGGCGAGGCATAAGCGTTAAGGGCAGGCTAACGTGAGGAATAAAGCATAAGTATATCAAAAAAAAAAGGAAATAAACTCAGCTATAAAAGTGACCGAATTGAGTCTGAGTGAATAGGCGCGAATAATTTCCGCTTTGGAGTTATTTGTGTTGCTCTTGTTTTTATTTCTCTGTGTAGGCCGGGGGATTGACGCCTTTCAGGCCTTTACTGGCATCCTCGGCGGTGTGTTGGTCACAAATCGCTCCTCCATCCCATGCTTTTTCTACTTGCCGGCTATCCTCCTGTCGCGGGGCCTCAACATTGTGAGTGAGTGAGTGAGCGTCATAACTCCCCCTCCCTGGAAGGAAGGTGGTGGAAGTCTCGTGAACTCCAGAGCACCACAAGCAGGGTCGTGCAGCTAACGAAAGCAAACAGCGCTACATGAGGGGGTGTCTCCATCTCTATCTGTGTGTTGGGGAACTGTGCCATCGGCGGCAGGTATATATATATATACTATATGTGATGTCACGCTGTTACAGGGCGCATTTACCTGAAGTAAACAAAAAAAGGAGCTCGTGTGGAATAAACACGCATATCTTCGTATACATTTTATTTATATTGGTGGTGGAGTGGGTGGAAAAGAGAAAGAACGAAGGAGAGAGTTGCGTCACTTAGCCGTAACTTTCTTTTTTTTTTTCTATTCACTCCCAACTCATGGGGTAGGGAACAGTCAAGAAAAATGATGATTGCCGTTATTGGCGCATATACATCATTTGGTTTCTCTCTGGCTTCTGTTACAGTCTTACTATTACTCCCCCTCCCTTTTTCTTTTTTCCATTCCCTCCTTTTGCTGGCATACTTCACCCCCTCGCCCCGGCGTCGCGTGCGCTCGTGCGTCTCACCCTTACACCTACGTGTGTGCCATGTTTCCCCTCACCCCTCACGAGGAAGCGCGAGGGGGGCGGAACAGAGAAGCAGCGCAAGTGAGCAAGCGCGGGTGCAGGGTGGTGGAGGTACACGATACAACACGCAAAGTAACTAATGGACCACATTAAACACAAGGAAATACACGCACCGATGCGAGTGCGCGCCGCCGCGCACGCACAGACAAATGTGAGCATATTTGGGTCCGAATGCATCCGAAGAAGGCGCACGTGTGTGTGTGTGTGTGACGCATTTCCCTCATATCCTTTTCACTTTTGTTATTTTTGTTTCTTCTTCTTTTGTTCTTTCTGGCTTCATCGCCGTCAACGATCTTCGTCTGTGGATCGACCCAAGCAGCCACACACGCACAGAGAGAGGGGGAGAGAGACAAGGAAACGAAAAGAAGACAAAAGCAAACGGTGGAGTGGAATGCTTTGCTGCTGGGGTCTCAGGCTGAGCAAATCCCGTCGCGATGGTGTCCCCGATGTGGGGAAGTTGCTTTATGGCAAGCGAAAGAATGCCATTCACACAGCAAGCAAGGCGAAACCGTCTGTGGTGGGGATGCTGATGCAAGCGCCCGAGTCGGAATTGCGCCAGGCGGCTTGGCGAGCCGCAAAGGTGAAGGAACTCAACCAGTCAACTCTCTCGGAGGTGCTAAAAAAATATCGCGCCGTCAATCGCCTTGACCGCTCAGAGGTGGTGGTTGCGGTGGCCGACGAGGTTCATCTAGGGCTGACATCTTCACAGTACTGCACCTTGATAGCGCATGCCAACGACAACAAGGACTACCAGGCTGCCATGCGCTACTGGGAACGTGCATGCAGTGAAAAGAAGGCCAACGAAAAGGTACACGGAGCTCTTCTCGCCGCGTACCGTGGCGCGAGTCGTTGGAAGGACGCTGTGCGGCACTACAATTCTATGCTCGAAGATAATATGCCATTTGATCCATATGCGCTTCATACCGTTATGAATGCTTGTCGAAGGGGAGACGCTTGCGATGTGGCAATCTCAACCTTCTACAAGGCGGTTAGCTCAGGGGGTTCTCCCAACAGTGCCGTGTACCTCGAGCTTCTGCGCTGCATGCAGCAGTTGCGGCAGCCTAGCCAGTGGAAAATGAGCCTCGACGTCCTTCGTTCCATTGAGGGAAAAGTGGATCTAACCGCCGGTCACTTCAACGCCGCGATGGCGACGATGGGCGGGGCTCTCTGGACCAAAGGTGTGGAGTTGTTTCAGACGATGAAGGCGAAAAATGTGCAGCCTAGCAAGGAGACATTGTCAACGTTGGTTTCGCTCAATCCGAACAACCTCACTCACACAGTGCAGTGCGTCGCCGAGGCTCACACGCTTGGGATGCCGGTAACCGACGCCATGTACCGTGCGGTTCTTGCAAACTTGTTTCGCATGAAACTTGATCACGAGGCGGTGCGGTTTGTCGAGCGGGAGTTTGCTAGGTGCAGCGAGGACGTCGGCAACCCTGTGAATGCGCCGCTCTCACTAAGCCTTGCCATCATTGACAGTCTTTTGGCGCACAACAAACCTCAGCAGGCACTGTTGTTTTTCTTCACATTTGAGACGAGGTTAGGCAACGTGGTGGGAGCTGCCACTCGTGGGCTTGGCACGGTTGGGCTCCGCTCACAACGGTGGATTGTTCAGGGGCGCGTGGCTGTCGTCGACCACAACGTCCTTCTTAACCCACGCTGTGAATCTCTTCTTTCCCACTACGACTCCATACTTGTGCCATTTTCGTCGATCCGGCTGCTTGTGCGTCGGGTGCGGGAGTTAGTCGGCACGGTGAAGGGGCGCTACACGAAGCTGAGGCTGAATTGGCTGCAGAAGCTCACGGCGGACCCGACAACCCCGCTGCGTGTCTTGCCGATTGCGCACCAACTCACCGCCCACACGTACATCCTCGATGGACCCGTCACCTCCGAGTCGTTCGAGTGTTTGCGCGAGACGGCACAGGAAGAGAAGGCCGAGGCGGCGCAACAAGAAGGGAGCCGCACAGCGCCGCTGTTAATTCGCAAAAGGGATACGCTCTTCTCTGCCACTGATTCTCTGACTCCGTTTCCTGGAGGGGAGCTCAAGGAAGGGGTCGTTGGGAAGCCAGCTGAGTCCACCCTCGCCAGCGGCAGGGGTGATAGTAGTCCGTTCGTTCTGAACAATCCAGACCGCATGAGCGCCCCGGAGCGTGTGCTTGCCGTGGCGGTGATGCTCAAGGCACTAAACCCTGATGCTAGCGTGCATGTTCTCTCACCAAACCCCGTGCAGCTGCAGGTGGTGGAGAAGTGGAACCAAACGCATTCCCTCACACCCTTGACGATGGTTCGCTACCCTGAGGAGGTGGCTGCAAAGGCACCTGCCGAACAGCAGCAGCTGCCGATTGACCCATGTAAGACGACTGCGCCCGGAGAAGAAACTGCAGACTCTGTTCGAACGCTGCGGCAGGAACGAAGGCCGCTCTTTGTCCCTTCGTGATTCGAGGGCGTTCTCTCGTCCGGGGGCAGAGACAGCCTCCACCCCCCACCAAGAGCTGTTTCCGTCAGTGGAAATGGCGTATTCACATGATGCGCAGATGTGTGCTGGAATATGTGACGCAAGAAGAAAAAAAAAAGCAACGAAAGTAACATGCCCACACACACACACGCACGCCCACAAAAAGACGGTGTGTAGGAGCATAGTCTCCGCGAGGAGGGGT